GTTGGTATAATTGTACTTGCCAGACAATAATACCATAGAGGTCTAAGACTAGTAGGTCCTGAAGAAACGTGCTCAACTTTTTGGCTCAGCTCTGGTACTATCTTTGGTTCCAAGCTAATCAATTCACCCCTCGAAACATAGGAAAATCCACTAACCCCTCATTTTATCTGTCAAACTTTCATAGCGAATCAAAACAAACATAGTGTAGTACTAGAATTTTGACTAGAATGCGGTACGTTAATCGATTTGCTTGGGACCAATAGACTAGTCAAGTAGTGAGCCAATTTAAAATCGTTTGTTTCGTATTGATTGTTGATAATACTAATGCAAAAATGGCACGACATCGAAAGCTCTCAACTAACAACTGTGGAAGTGCTCTAAGAGCAACCGTCATGGTGCGATGTTAGGCGCTGTGTTGCAGCGCATTACCATACACGCCGGCAAAAGAACGTAAGAATTCCATAAGAAACACTTATGAATTTTAGCCACAAGAAAGCAGTATGAATTTCTTTGATTTGCCTTATGAAAAATAATGTTGACAAAAAAATAATCAATCGGAGCAGACTGGAACCGAACCATGGAGCTTACGGGGCCCGTGTGCTGACCACTCGTCTTTCAACGCGCAACGGGAAGATGAAATGATTAAAGGCGTAATAGAGCTACCTCATGTTACCCGAAAATCATTCATAAGTCACGCTTTTGAAATTCATATGTGTTGTTCATAAGTCGAACCTTATGAAATTTTTAAGTCTATTTACATCAGTGTACCTTCACACCGCACAGTGGTGCCAAGGGTATCAAACCACGCGCTTTTTTATTTACGCAGAAATGGTTGATTAAAGGTACTAGGTGTCTTCTGAGAAGTTTCTTGGGTTACAACACTCCTTCTTATGGTAAAAGAAAATTAAAGATTAATCCACCTAAAAGTGAGATGCAAAATTAATTTTTTTAACATAATAAGATACAAAATAATTGCGTTCGGCACAGCTGTAGGATTTTTTTTTAATTCTTTATTAAAGAGATTTTTAGCCTTAGGCTAGTTCATCTCTATTCAGCTCTAGGAAACATTACTGTGAACAACTTTGCTGAAGACTATAACTTTCTAGCTCTTATAACTTCTGATATATAAAGGTTTTTTTTTTGTGGAGACATCGTTAAAATCAGTTTTGTATCTGTAACTTTTTCTACAATATTTCTACATATCTGGCATGTTCTATAAAGATGTTAGAAATATCAAATTACATATCTTTTAGAAGACTGCAAATTGCTACCATCATTATTTGAAAAGTTATTTACATTTTTTGGTTGAAAATTACCCAACATCCAATACCAATAGCTTCTAAACGGGCAAAAACGAGCAGGCCATTCATTGAGCAATTGAAAGTACAAGAAAATGCAATAAAATGGTGAAGAAACCAGACCGCCCCCACTTGACCCTTAACCAAAATACTTGCATTAAAACTTGTCACTTTTCAGCATTTGAAATGCCGATTTTGTGAAACCACGGGACTGCTATCGAGTAGGTGTGAAAAGAGGCATACAAATGGATAACCAAGCAGCCTGGGTTATTTCTAGTGACTAACACCATTTCAGCGTAAATAAAAAAGCGCGTGTTTTGATACCCTTGGAACCACTGTGCACCGTACCGGTCGCTTCCAAACACGCTGCCAAAATAAGATCGAGGCTTTCGGGAAGCATCGTGTGCTCAAATTTAGCAGCGCGATAGGAGGATAGGAGCGCGAGAGAAGGTTGCTATTTGACGAAATGTCAAATGCTCGCTGTTGTCGGTTTGTTGTTGTTGTTGTTGTTGTCTATTTTTGTGCGGATGAGTTTTTAATTCACAGGTAGGTATTTTTCAACTGTTTTCAAGATGGCGTAGTGTTGAGTTAAAGTTAAGTTAAAGTTAAAGTTAAGTTAAAGTTAAGTTAAAGTTAAGTTAAAGTTAAGTTAAATTTAAGTTAAAGTTAAGTTAAAGTTAAGTTAAAGTTAAGTTAAAGTTAAGTTAAAGTTAAGTTAAAGTTAAGTTAAAGTTAAGTTAAAGTTAAGTTAAAGTTAAGTTGAAGTTAAGATAAAGTTAAGTTAAAGTTAAGTTAAAGTTAAGTTAAAGTTAAGTTAAAGTTAAGTTAAAGTTAAGTTAAAGTTAAGTTAAAGTTAAGTTAAAGTTAAGTTAAAGTTAAGTTAAAGTTAAGTTAAAGTTAAGTTAAAGTTAAGTTAAAGTTAAGTTAAAGTTAAGTTAAAGTTAAGTTAAAGTTAAGTTAAAGTTAAGTTAAAGTTAAGTTAAAGTTAAGTTAAAGTTAAGTTAAAGTTAAGTTAAAGTTAAGTTAAAGTTAAGTTAAAGTTAAGTTAAAATTAAGTTAAAGTTAAGTTGATGCTTGGCTTATGACTATATTCATCTATTGCGTCTATATTGTGGATTCAATCCCATTTTTTGGATTATTCCTATATTTTTTAGAACGCAAACTTGATTTTATCAAACCAAAACGAACATTTTAAAAGTTTGAATTTAGAAATTGGTCGAATTTCGCGCGCTCTACCGAAAACACCAGACAATTCGATTGCAAAATTCCAGTCGCAACACTGCAACGTCGTATTTACAATCGTATGGGCGAAGGACTTCTATTGACAGCAGCGTTGCAAGAATGTTTTAAAGCTTATCGGTATCAAACGTTTTTAAAAAATCGGTTATTATCGGTATATACTATTTTAATTAATATTATTTTTTTGTCGTTTTTGAAAGCGAAATTTTAAACTTTTGGACTATGATCGGAAAATTCCAGAAGAAAACTCCGAAAAATGTTGGAATTAGTTTCTGGAGAAAGCTGAAAACAACATCCAGAGAAATAAGAAATTGGATGAAATTTGAGGAAGTTCTGAGAAAAGTCGGAAAAACATCCACGGAACTTCCAAGACATAAATTGAGAAACTTCTGGCGAAAATTTAAAGCAGCTTTCAGAAAAAAAAAAATCAGATTTCACATTCAAATGAAGGCTCAAAAGTTTCAGAAATCAGAAGTAAATTCCAGAAGTAGCCATTTCCAGGGGAAGCCCAAAGAAGCTCGGAAAAGCCTTCCAATAGAAGTAAAAAAAAAACAACTGGGCAAAATTCCAGAACTAGACGAAAGCAATTTCTGGGAGAAGTTTAATTGAACTTCCTGGAGAAGACGCTGGCAGAAACTTCCTAAGGTAGATTGGGAAAAAAATTCTGGAGCTCTTGGGGGATGTTTTATATAATGAGTTTTTATTGAGCGAAAATTTTCCAAATGGTCATAAAACATCCCTGAAGAGCCCGCAATGCCCCTGAAGTTTTTGGAACATTCCTGAAATGTACTTAGGAATATTCCATATTTCCTCGGAATTCGTTAAATGTTCTTGTAATTTTCCTTAAGTTAATAGGGCTGTTTTGGAGTAATCTGATCATTTTTGAAATACTTGTAACTTCCCTGATTATAACGAGACTACCGGAATATCTCTTATCAACTTTGAAGGTCTCTAGACTTTCTTGAAGATTACGAAATTTCTTAAGGGCTCTCACAATTTTCTTTCTTTCTATTGTAACATCAGCATTGAAGTTCTCTGATCTTTCCGATTTTTCTAATTTTTAAAAGTTATCAACACTGCTATTAAGAAGCACGGAACTTCCCATAAAATGTTCTCACAATGTGTTAATGTTCATGTACCTTCCCTTACGTTTCTGAAATTTGCTTGAGCCTCTCGGAACATTGTTGAAGTTTTTGAAAATTGCCTGAGATTCTCGGAAGTCATTTAAAATTTCAGCGATTTCCTTGAAATTTATTGATCTGTCCTGTTGTTCTCGGAGCTTTCTAAAATTTTCTCAAATCTCCTGAAACTGAACTGTCTTGAAAACCATTAAATTTTCCAGAATTTCTTTGGACTTGTGAAGTATCCAAAATATTTATGATGTTTCCTTAAGTTCACTGGAGTTTGCTGTATCGGGTTTTAGAATTTTAGCAGAAGTTATTGAAACATTCTTTAATTTATCGAAACTTACTCAAAAGTCTGGATTTTTCTGAAGTTTCAGAACTTCCTAAAAGTTCCTGCAGCTAGTGTGGATCCACAATCAAAATCTGGAAGCATCCCTGAAGTTCTGGGAAAGTTGAAAAAACTGGTGGGAGAAGATGGAAGAATCATTCGATCGAAGGCTGAAGAAGCTTCCAAGAGAAGTCGAACTAAGTTTCCGAGAGGAATTGAAAAATAATGTACGATGTAAGATGGAAGAAAATTCCAGGGGAAAGTTAGAAGAAGGAAGTTAAATAATGTTTAAGAAGTATTTCCCGATTCCCCTGGAATTACCAGAAATAGCCATCGACAGTTTATCGATTCATGGGTAGCCAAAAATGGTGCGGAAATTGAAATGTTAATCGACAGAGTATCCATAAGACATTTTTGAGGATGATTTTTTTTAGAATTTTAAGGGCTCAAAAAATTTGAGATATTCAAAAAGATACAAGTCTCTCACAATAATTTTCTCCGAAATTCTGAGCGGCAATAATCATTTTGATTATTTAAAAAAATCGGTATCAATCGGTATAAAAACTCAAAAAATCGGTATTCTGAGGAACCTTATCAGTATATCGGTATCTAGTTCGGAAATCGGTAGAAATACCGATAAATCGGTATATCTGGCAACGCTGACTGACAGGCTGAGATCGTCATGTGTCAACTGCGTACTGAATTATTTTTAAACTTTGGACTTTACAATGTTTGTTTCGCCTATTTATTGTGTTGTACGTGGTTTGGAAAATATATAAAGTTCTTATGCCAGTTCGAACAAGGGAGTGGTAAAGCAAACTTATTCAATCTGTATTTCCCCGGTCCTTTCATTAAAACAATGTAGTCAGTCATGAGGTACTCAAAATAAATGAATAAACATCATATGGAAATTGATTATCTTGTTTTTCATGTAACCTCCAGTGCATTTCAACGGGCATAAATTAAACAAAATTGTCAGAAGTCAGATTGAGTTTTTATTTTAAACGATACATGTACTACGCAGTAGCACATCATATAAACTTAGCCTAATAATCACATATTTTTATGGTATATTTCTACGAACTACTAACGGTGTAATCTAGAAATCAATTTTGTTCATATCTAACTTTGTAGGTATTTTTCCAGACCTCAAAGAGACAGATAGTCGAATGGAATCGATAGAATATTGCCAGCGGCATCGAAATGTGCGTAATGATTGTCCAAGCCCAGATGCCGTAAAACGCCATCAACGTTGGTCTGAAGCTTGCATTAGTTTTGATCAGCGTGTTAATGATCCAGATGGCCATGTTGGCAATCAGCAGGAATGTGATGGTCTCCCTTCCCGGTTTGGTGCGATTCTGTTTGGCACCCTTGCATCGCCGCCACCAGGCATTCATGACAAACAAGGTTTGCAGGGTTGTTTGTATCAGCGAAATCATCTCCGCCACTAATGAGTAAATCGAAGCATGTTCTGTAATGCCGATCGAGAAGAAAGTTCCGATCATGCTAAACATGCAGTAGATGTAGATACCGATCTGGGCAAGGACTAGTAGTGTGCAGTCCAAACGGATTCCACCATCACCTTTCTTCTGCGAAAACTTGAGGTCACGCATTTGGATCATGGCCCACACAACAGCAAATGCGGTTATCGTGTAGATAATTATTTCGCTAATTGTAACCTCGATGGTTGCCATCCGCTGGAAGTACATTTCCTTGTGGAGTACAAAGTACATTATCAGCACTATGATGGTTAGAACGATGACCAAAATCCCTCCGAACATTCCACGTTGGGCATTGGAGCAGTCAATGGACAGTAGATGGGCACTTTTTCCGGTGAGGCTTTTCCGGGAGCTTTTACGCGAGCCATTTCTGCCCCGTTCGGTTTCCCGCAGTTTCTTCCACATTTCAAACAGAATGACAGCGCAAATCAGCGAGTACTCAATGGTGCAAGGAAACAGGAATGGGGACGCGTTCTGTACCAATGACCCCATTATGTTGGTCCGAAGGCATTCGATACCGGCCAGCGATGCGCTGGCACCGTCACGCTTGCTCAAGTGGTGCTGCACATAATGGGTGGCGTTTAGCTGGATTAGCTTCGCTTTTAGTCCATTGTCTGCGAAAGAAAATGGTGCGAATCAATTCTGTTAGTTCTGGACACTGGATATTTACAGTCAATCCATGACGTTATAGATGGATTGTTATAGCAATAAACCTGTCAATTCTTGGCAATATTCAATACTTGAAACAATGAGTAAAATTTGAAATAAAATATTTCTCAGTGCTTCCGGTAAAAGGCACATTGAATCGCAAATCTTACCTGTCATTGCTGCTGCTTCACCACTTTTCGCATGGATGGCTATCCCCTCGTGTGCGATGTGGGCAATCTCGTGCTTGGCCTCTTCGATTATCACGTACAGCCACTCGCACAGGTTGGTGGCCAGCATATGCATCAGGCCAAAGCGGGAAATGAATTTGTGCCGGTTCATGTGAAACTGTGGTACGCTGCTGAAGAACAGAAACTGCATCTGTACAATGCATAGTGCCATTCGAGCGGCCGGAATTAATGCAATTAGAACATTTTGACATCTTTCATCGCCTGCGTCGATAAAGAGAAGGAGAATTTATAACATATGCGGTATAACTTTATGGCCATCCATGGACGGCTCCCATCGAGACAAAGGCCATAACAGCCAATTTTACGCGTTCCGTAAGCACACAGCAAGCGTGCTCCTCCCGAGGGGAAATCGAATTGAATTCGTACTGAAATTGGATTTGTTCAGCGTCTAGTTGGATGACGTTCGACTTACGTTTCAACTCAAAGTACTGGCCAAGCTCAAGACCAGAGTAGACCATGCTTCCGATTCCGAAGGCAATTGCTCCAACCCGGAGGTAGAATGAACCGAATCGGGCCTCTTTCGGTTTCAACATTTCTGGTATACCACCAGGTTCATCTGGAAAGCAAACAAATTAACCGTGTTAAATGACGTTATCCGTCACGAAGGATGTTTGACGATTTTTAGTATGATTGCAACTGATAAACGGCACATAAAGTGAGCGTGCGTCTTTTGAAAAGCTTATTGCCGTTCCAGGGAAAATAATTCGGCGCAACTGACAGCCACAGCATGCTATCAAAGCTGATAATCTAACGCCAAATGCTAGTTCTTCTCTGAATTGAAATTATCTAATCTGAACAGTTTAATTACTGAATAGCTGCAATTGCAGCACGAGAGTTTGTATTGCCATGACGTTCGGTATTGCCAAAATGGAGCACAAAAAAAAATGGCACAAGTCTCGTGCTATCAAAATTGACAACGGCTATCAAACTTCGAGCGATAACCGGGCTGAGGAGAAGTGTCTGATGACCCACACAGCGAACGATAACCAAAAAGAGTTTACAGAGGTGTACTTACGGTATTGCCTCAAGATGTAGTTCAGCTTGGCATTGTGCTGGAAGCGTATAACGTAGAGGTATATTGTAAAAAGAACACTGATCAAGTACAGATACAGGTAGAATCCTTGGTAGAAGTGTTGAGGAGCCTTTTCGGACACGACATCCGTTATGGGAAAGGCGATTCCGAGCACTATGATCAGTTTGGCGTACAAAGCGGACAAGGCGATACTGAACTGGTTACTGAAAAGATAGATTTTGAAATCCTTCATTAGAATTTTTAAAGAGAAATATTTTGCTTCTATTAATTTTTTCCTGCAAACTGTGAGAGTTTTTCCTCGCGACTCGACTTATACGCTCAAAACCATTCTGCTCTCATGACAGTTACTCAGAAGAAGGCCCGAATTAATCTAAGTTTTAAAAGATATTTTGTTCGAGCCTTAACGTCTGTTCTCTATGATACTATAGTCAAAATATACAACACAATAAACACTTTATCTTCCACTATCCAATAAACTTCCTCCATCAGAACGGGATCCGCTTCCAGCAATTTCATTGTATGGCAGTAACGCCCACGGGAGGCAAAGCGCTTCCATTGCAGCAATGGACACAAATTGTAGTCATCACAAAACGGTTGCATTCCCAAGTTGACGACGTATCGATCGAAAGACTGCAGCGTACAAGCAAGTTTTTCCAGAATGCATATTTTTGTATAAAACCTTCACAAGATGATTTTTAAGACGCAACGTATTTGGGGTAACAAACTTTGTTCGCTAGCTAACATAAAAATTACAAAATTATGTTAAAAACCTTCTGGCGACCACATTAAAGAATATGTTTCTGTCACGAAACATTGTAAATTCTGCATACTTTTTATGCAATAAAATCTTACTTGTTCCGGTTGGGTGTAGTTTATGAACAGCCTCTTTGCAGATGTACCAGTTATGGCTATACGTTCCGATTATGGTGTGTTCTACCTATGGGATATGATAACTCCAGGCCATAATTGGAGCACACTATAATGGAAACGTAAAGCCATGAATAAATTTTGACTCAAAGAATGGTGGTGCCATGTATGCCTTAAGGACTGTTCATATAGTATGTAGACAGTTTTTTGGGATTCTGAATCAATTTAGATAGTCAAGTTTTGAACCCACCACAGCATGCGTTTGGCGCTCTGTATATGGACGAAATGTAAAATACTATGGCAACCCCAGCATAGTTCTGTCAAAACCTCAACATGTTCATTGATCGTTGACTACTTTAAAAATGAACACCATAGTCAAATGAACATTTCTTTGCTTCACCTACAACCATTGTAAGGCGTCTAGCATCAAAGTCGAAGAAGTGAATCTATTACATCTCAAAATCAAACGCATTATTTTATTCTGCAAGCGCTGTAGTCTCGATATTTGTGTTGCATTGGCCAAAAATAAAATGGAAGGGCAAAAGTCTAGGTAAGGAGAGAAGATTGATTTGTATAACTGTATTTTACTGGCAATAGTTTAAATGATATTTCAGTCGACATAGAATTCCATACTTCTTGGCAATTTTCTTGATGACATTGTCAATGTGAGAGTTAAACTTTGTCATCAATAATCACGCCAAGATAAATATTTAATCTCCTGTACGCGATCAATAGTCTCATAATCAATTACAACAGAGACGTTCTCATTTAATCGATTCCGCGAAATTATCATAAATTTAGTTTTGCTTGTATTCAATTTCAACTGCTTAGAGAACGCAAATCTTCATTCAAGTGTAAAACATCATCTAAATCCCTAGCTGCAATGAATAAAACAGTATCATCTGCAAAAAAATTAATGTTGCAAAATCGTAAAACGCGTCGCAAGTCATTAATGCACATAATAAATAACAGGGGCCCTAACACACTTCCCTGGGGGACTCCAAGGTTAATCCCCACGGGACTGCAAACAGAATCATTAAAAACAGTCCGTTGAGTTCTGTCGGACAAATAGCTTTCATTGGAGGCGAACCAGCCTAAGACTGAAAGCCTCCTAAATAAAGCTAAATAATAATAATACAAATAGCTTTCAAACCATTTATATGCTCGTAATTCCAAAGCGCTTGATTGATCTTAACAATAAGGGCCTAGAAATTGTTTCAAAAGCGCGTTTAAGATCCAAAAAAACAGCAACAATCGTATCTTTACACTCCAAGTTATTTTTCCACTTCGCTAATACCAAATTCAACGCGGTTTCACAAGAATGACCTTCCCGATATCCCGATTGTTCTGGTATCAACAAAGAGTTGCTATTCAAATACTCCAACAGCTGGCCTTTAACAACAAGTTCTAAGATTTTCTCTAATGTGTGCAACATGTTGATGGGACGAAACTCTTCGGCTTTAATCGTTCCAGCAACTTTTTGAATAGGAATCACAAGGATTCCTTCCAAATTTGTGGCACATGTCCAGTTTGCAATGATTCATTAATAAGGTCCAGCAAGATGTGGCCAATGATATGAAAGCAATCTTGAATAACTCTAGCATTGACATTATCTACTCCTGCCGATTTTCTTAATGTAAAACAAATATTGGGTGAAAACCTTCAAATCTACAACTACTTTTAACTGGCTGTCAGGTTCTTCGACCAATTAAATGGATTGAATTAATCAATTGAAACACTGTCGACAAAATAATCGGTTTGCAATTACTAGGTTTTAATAAAGATTTCAAAATTTTCCGTAACTCTTTGCTGTTGTTTTGATGCTGATCTTCCTTTGAACATATTCACAACGAGTTTTCTTTATCGATTAGGAATACTTATTACGCTCGATTGTGTACCTATTCCAATGATTGTCATTATTTGATCTGCAAAACTTTTTGTACCGTTTGTCCCTTTTCCGTTTAAGACGCAAAAGATCCAAATTGTACCAGGTGTTCGTGTTTTTAAAAGAAACAAACTTTTGCTCAACTAGTTGATTGGTACACATTTTCAAAGCGTTATTAAGAACAGCTGTAGATTCATCTAAATTACCGGCCGCGAATGGAAAATCTGCGCTCCTCTCAACAAGATTCGAAATAGCTTGCTTTGGATATTTCCTCCAGTACTTCAAATTTACAAAATTATCGTTATCGTTATCGTTAACGTTATCTAAGGTCACTAAGGTCACTAAGGTCACGGTTATTTTCAAATCAGTATCCGTAACTGAACAAATAGATTAAAAATTGGAGTAAACATGATCAATTGAAGTTCTACTGTGCCTGGAAATACGCGTATACTCATTTACCGTTTGCTTTAAAATAAAAAATACTCAGTTAAACGCTTCAAATGATTCGAATTATGGTTGTCACGCCAATTAATATTAAAATCACCAGCTTATATATTTAATTTACTAGAATCAAGAAATGTCTCGAGCCAGTTCTCTAAAACTTCAACAAAACGCTGGTCACTAGATCTGGGAGAATGATATAAAACGCCATAATTACCCATCTTCATGCCACGCACAACTGTAATGCCCAAGAACCAGTTACCATCAATAACTTTGTTGGTACGAAGATTGAATTGAACTGATTCTTTGGCATAGATAGCAACACTGCCAGTGTATCTAGAATGCGATAAACAAGCAGCAACATTATATCCCGGAATACTATATTGATCAAATGCTTCAATTTCGACAAAATGAGTTCCAGCTACAAAAAAAAAAACTAATAGTGGACGTTTTTCCTCAACAATCCGACGTAGTTTGTTGACAACCCCACAATATTCAAATACAAAAAATCGAATTAATTCACATTCCTGGAACTTGGCTGCTATTTATTGAAACGCAAAGTCTTTTATAGAGCAAACATTCCGTTCTTTGTTCGGTTTTCAAATAATTAACACATTTCAATGCAGTTGACGTACACTCTGACGTTTTGTGTTCTTGACTGCACTTAGAGTATCTTCCAAAATTTTCGCAATCCATGCTTTTGTGCCCAAATTCTCCACATTTGAAACATCTCAACACATTAATCGCGGGAACTATCGAGCACCGATCAAACCCTAAATTGCACACTCAACAATAATAGAGCCATCTTTACCATTCCTAAAATTCTTCGCAAGCTTTTTTAGACTCTTTTGGTTTAATTACAATGACCGGACGAGTCTTACAATTACTCTGTTTGTTACTGTTACTGTTACTAATATTTTTACTTTTACTGCACGACTATGTATTTTTACGACATCCGCAAAACTCGCATTTCTTGAAAAACATCATCATCATTATCACTGTTACTAATTACTAACTTATGTTTTTTGCGTCTGGTATTTTGTTTCGATTCCAACTAGATCGTCCTAGATACACTGTGCTGGTTATTTGTAACAGCTAATTATTTTTCCACAGTAATTAAAAAAATGAGTTTTTCATACTGTCCAATTTTTCACAAATTAATTTTTCAATACCATTTACATTTCGGCTAATGTTATTTGGTTGAGTTATTTGATCTATGCTTGCCATAAATTGGTTCTAGCTCGAAAAATATGTTACTTAGCACAAAATTGTCGCCTCCATTATACAGCTTAAATGTCGTACATACCGTATGCATGATAATGTTCGCACCATTAAGCAATGTTTTTTTTTTTTTTTTCCTTTGGTTTGTTTTTTTTCCGTCGATCTTGTTTTCCGTGCTGAGCACCAATGCTACCGACGTGCCAGGAAGGCAGCTCCCACACCTGGACCCTACCTATCGACCCATCAACTCATGAACCGGGGACCAACGGCTTTACTTCCCATCCAAAGGAAGGCGTGATCAGAGATGTTATGCCTCAGAACATCCCGGCGGCGCTGACTGGGATTGAACCCAGGCCTGCTGGGGTGAGAGGTAATCACGCTTACCAGTTAAGCAATGTTAAAATTAAAAAAAATTCTCAAAAACTTCTTTTTCGAGTTTTTTTTATTTATTTAAAGGGGGGATGTTTCTCAGCGTCTAAAACTATGTTAATCATCGATCGAGTTTCCACTTGCTGCAATAACAGCCTCCACACGCTTCCGGAATGCACGGCAGGTTCTAATAATGTAGTCTGGATCCATTTCTCTCCAGGTACGGGCAATGTTTGTCTGAGGCTTGCTGTACTCGGTTGGCGTTTAGAACAGGCCTTGGCCTTCATGACGCGCCATATTGAGTAATCCAGCGGATTAAGATCGGGGCAGGATGGCGGCCACATATCCTTCGCCCAGAACGGAAGATGTTCCTGCAACCACTTCTGAGTGCGGTTCGAGGTGTGGCACGGAGCCCCATCT